TGCGCTTGGTATAATGACTGTGTAATTGTTACTAGACCGAGGCAAACTAACTGTTGCGCGTGAAACGCAGCCCTTAAATATTATCGCACTATTCCTTAAACGCCGGTGTTTGTTGCCATGACGATATTGGTTGTGACGTCAACAGGACATAGTCTGGAACGTTCGTTGCCGTTGTTTTGTTTAAATAACTGAATTGCCCGTTCATACCTCTCCCACTTTCGCCTTTGAACTTTTTAATTCTCCTACTTTCGCCTTTCAACTTTTTAATCCGTAACACTTACTATGCGGAGAGTGGACTGTTATTGATATTTGGAATAAGACTTGAAGTTTATCTAATAAGTTTTGACTTTAACTTGATTTTAAAATTGAAAATTGAAAGTTTGAAAGTCTTCTATGTTCAAAAGAGTTGAACAAACTTATTAAGTATTCATTGAAATTGTATATATTATTAAATATTTAAATTTACATATTCAATATCACACACTAGGTAATGATATTTTGTATAAATATAAATAATTGAAATTGTAGGCAAGAATAAATATATACAAATCTAAAATATATTATTTAGTATATGCATTATAATATATATATGTTATGTTGTATATATATATACATATATAAAATAATTAACAATATTTTAATAAAGTTTCAGGAATTTTTAACTTCATACAATAAGTTATCAGAAGTTTGCTTTTTTGATTGTGTAAATGATTTTACTACTCGTGATATTCTAAAAAAAGAAGAAAAATGTGCTTTAAATTGCATGGAAAAATACTTAAAAATGAATCAAAGAATATCACAAAGATTTCAAGAATTTCAGATAATTGCTAATGAAAATATATTAGCAGCTACTAATAAAAAATAATATAATGAACTAATAATGTATATTTTATAAATAAATAGATACTTAATTCAAGTTTATAAATATGCATATAGTTTGTTTTTTCCTTTGATATATTTTAATGGTTCATAAAAATGAGAGGTATATAAAAATTATATTGGTGTTTTGTAAAAAACATTGATAAAAATAAATATGCTGATTAATTTTTATTAAGTGAACAATGGATAAAAAATTGCAATTGTATGCAGTGCTTGTACGTAAAAGTGTTTAGAAAAATGTAAAAGATATACCTATTGCAATAAATACTATTAATTTATGTGCAGCATTAAATATCGATGAAAAAATATTGGATAATAATTTTCCTGAATATAATGATTATTGATAAAAATTTGTTTTTTTTTTTTTTAAGAAATAATGTATATTTTTATTAAAGTTGAAAACAAGAGGGTCTTCGATAGGTGTAGATCTTATATAATTTAGCTCATTTGTCTCTGTATTTATCTTAAAATTGTAAATATTAAACATTTTAATTCATGTTTTTGAAAACATAGATATTTTAATTTATTATATTATAATACACATTATTTTTAATAAAGTTTAATTACGTATTAAAAAATGTAATGAAAGGTTACATTAATTGTTAATTTAAGTGTTTCTAGTTGCAATCTAAAAAAAATATATTTTTATTAAAAATGAACAATAGAAAATAGAAAACTGAATACTTTCCTTAACAATCTGTTATGCTTATGGTTATCTTCAATAGATAAATTAACACATTTTTCAATTTTTTAATAACTAAATATTAAAATTGTATAAGATGTTTATATTAATTTCAAATTAAAAAATGTATTGAGTTATTCTTAGAGCAATAATTAAGTATTCATTTCAAACTAGTTATTGCATTTTACTTGTAAAAAAATGTTTATTTACAATTGTGGTTTGTTAAAAAATTATAAATAAGAAAATAAATATCTTTATCTTAAATTTTATGGAAACATAATTAATGCATGATAGTTAATCTGGAATGGTTCAAACTCAATATAATTTAGGATTAAATTAAAAATTAAATTTATAAATATGTAAATAGAAGATTTTATTATTTGTCCTTTGTTACTAAATTGTTCTGCCCAGTGATATTCAGTTCTTTTTTTTCGCTTTCCAAACCTAAAAAATTGTCAATTTCATAATATCCGCTTTGATTTTTTTTTCCTCTTATGTTTTTCTTCTCATTCAATATCAGTGTATCTTGAATAATTTATTCCGTTTAAAGCATGGCTCTTTTTAATATTATGAATGTTTTTTGATTAATTATTGATTATACAATTTTTTTCATGTCATTGAATTATAACACACTATCGGCTATTATGTAATATGAGCTATAGTTTATATACATATTCACTTTTATTATTTTGAATACAATTTTTAGTAAATATTATATATCAACATGGAAATAGCATAAATATTTAAGTATATATTTTTTTATGATAAAATACGTGTAAATTGAATTTATTATCCATTTTTTAAAGTCGTTTATGAAAATTTGTAATCATTCTAATTGAATCATATAATAGAATACACGATTACTACTATGATAGCTATACATATCAATGTAAGATATGTACAATTGTGGAAGTTGTGAGCAGACCAGTTAACTAATAATAAACTTGTATAAGTTTATTTTGTAATGTACATTTTTTGCTTTGACAAATTTCTGTTGAATGAACGATAGTTCGACCATAAACTATTCAGACTCGCAAATGAATCTGAGGCATACTAATTCAATTACACTCGAATTAGATTTTGCTTCATCAATGAACATTACATTTCGCACCGTGAAAGATTATATAAATGAATAAATAAAATAGTATGAATATATCTTTATTGATTTAATTTTTAAACCTTTACTTTGAATAAAGGTATTACTATTCAATTAGAAAAAATAAAATTCATCGTCTATTTTATATTATTTATATATTAATTAAATAATTGTTAATAAAACGAAAAATTGTGTTTTGAAACATTAATTTTATTTTCGTAAAAAATCGTAAAATTTAATTAATAGAATAAATTATATATAATTTATAATAATATATTATTTTCATATATTTAAGATATATAAAAAGTGTGGTTAAAATACGTATTTGAAGTTTTTCAAATTAATGTATTTATTATTACTTCATTATTACCAATGATGATATATGTATATTAATTATTGCTTTTGATTATCATATATATTATGCATTGTTTTAAAATTTTATTAAATCGAATACTTTTTAAACTTAAATGGTTGGTGTTTCACTGTATAATTTTATGTTGTAAATCTATTCACTATGTATGTATAGTCTCCAGGATAAATGAAACTAATAGAATTATTAATATTAATAGTTTTTATTGATTTTGAAATATATATTTTTAAAATATAAGAAATATGTTTATAAAATTCAAATAAATTAATTTTATTCATATTTGATATTTTATATTTTAATATATATTTTTTCTTTGTATTATTGTTATCCATTAATAACTGCAATATAATTTTTCATTTTTTAATGACTGTTTACAGTCTAAGATTTATACATTAAGATACATCTTTCATACTTAATTATTTCTTAATTAACATTAATAATAATATTAATTATGTGAATAAATTATACACGATTTCTATAAAACTTAATAAAAATCTTATTTCAATGCTATTTATTTTTTTTAATTAAAAATAATTACTTTTAATATTTTAAAATTTAACCAAATCGTTTAATTTAAATTATTTGTCGTTGTTGCATTATTATTTAAGTTTAATTGCCGATTTTGTTAAATCGATGGAATTGCCTTCTATATAGTGAGTTGTGGCTTTATATTAATTTACGAATATAATTAATTCTTCAGCTTAATGTAAAGTCTATTAATATAATTCTAATAGATAAATATAAAAATATCATTAATTTTATAAAGGCAATAGTGTTTAGTAATTTATGAATTGTATGAAAAATAATGGTTGATTAATATATTGCAGTTTTAATACAAAATAAAAAAATATAATTTATATTTTATTCAAATGTAAATGTATATAAAAACAATTATTTAAATAAAATAAGTTTTATTTCCATTATTGTGAATTAAAAAATATATAGTTCTGAAAATATCAATTTATATAATATGTGATTCTAAAAAATCAAAGTGGAATAATATATTTAATTTCTATTTTTAAAAACCACTAGATAGGAATCAATAATATTTATTTTGACACTTATTTATAATTTGAAAACCAAATATTGATTGTTATCTGCTATCAAGTTCAATGAAAATTGTTAAAAATAAAGAGAAATGTATTTTATAAACGGAATAATCTTTTTGAATAATATAATTTAACTTTAAAAAAATTAAAATTATTATCACTATTTTGTCGTTTGTCCTACTGCTTAACAAATATCTCGATATGAATACATATAATGAATATTGCCAAAAACAATAGATAAATAAAATAGATATTACTAATAAGAAAATTATTATATAAAAATGGGATTTAAAAAAGGGATTATTAAAGTAGTCTAAAAATTTGTAAGATTTTAAATTCTGATAAAATTAAGATTTGTTTAGAATTTATTAAAAGGTATTCATAAGAAATACAGTCTTATACTGAATGAATGCTTGTAAAAACAAAAAAGGCACTAGATTTAATTAAAAAGATCAATAGATATTGATCTAATTCATAAGCTGATTATTTTATACCTTTTTTGTGTAATACTTATTTATTCAATATACAGAATTGAAAGATATGTAAACTGGACCACATAGTCTAATTTTTTTTTTAATAATAAAGTATAATGTGTTTAGAAATATTATATTCAATACAATTTTCTTCTCTTATATTTAAAAATTGACAAACAATTGTTTTATTTATAAAGATGAAAATTTCAAATTCATTTTTTAACTACATTAATTAATATTAATTGGGAATTAATTTCAGGAAACTAGAAAAAATTGTAACACGTAACAATTTTTTTTTATAAACATGAAAAAAGGATCTTTATAGAATAATTTTGGATATTTACAGAAGTATTCTGAATTATACCGTAAAAACTTATTGTTGAAATTATTGAATTTCATTTTAATATTTTTTATGCATTCTACTTTAATATTCAAATTTTGTTTTGTATAGATATAGATTACAAATAAAACGTTTATTAAAAACGATATCCTACGACTTATGAATTAAAATGGAAGCGCTTGTTCATGACTTAACATTAGCACTTGAAGAAAGCAATAATAATATGCATGTTCGACATCATTGGAACATTAGAAGGCGAACTCATTCTGCAGGAAACATTCGTAAGTATTTATTTTATTTGTTAATATTTAGAGATTTTTTTTTATTTTTTTTTTAATAAAATATTTTATTTTTGAAATTCAATTGCAGATACTTCTACATATTTATTTTCATCTTTCTAAAAGACATTCATTCTACAATTTAATTATTTAATTCCAAACATGTCTTTTATTTTTTAAATATTATGTTTATCTTTTTAAAAGTACCGATTATCCAATATTTATTTCTTATAAGTTAATTGTACTGTTTATTTGTTCTCATCAAATTTTTGATTAAACATTTAGTAGATAACAATTTAGATCGAGCTGCTGTTAATTAATACCATTTTGTAGCTTCATTTACTGTAAGTAAAATATCCGAAGATAGTTCATCCTCTATGTGTGAAATGCATTTTAAAAAACGTGTAGAAATGTCATCCATGACATTGAAATGTCATTCAGATAGCGATGATTATAATTATAATAATAGATTCACTCAGTTTTCAACAATAAACAATATGAATAATATAGAAAGTGATTCGGTTAATGAAAATTTTATACCTCGAAACATTACACGCCGTAAAAGAAAATTTAAAAAAATGTCTGTTGATTCAGATTATAGTCCTGCAACATCAACTGCTATGGCTAATATTGTTACTACTAATGACAAGAAAAAGCAATTTTTTAGAAACAATTGTGATAACAATCAAGATATTATATGGTAAGTAAATAATTATGTGCTAAAAGTTATGATAATTATGAATTTAAACTATATATATATATATGTATATATATATATATATATATATAGAAAAGAAAAAGATCGTACCGAGAACGATCAACGGATTGTGAAATGCAATCTACAAAGTGGTGTGGGAAAAGAAAAAGATCGTACCGAGAACGATCAACGGATTGTGAAATGCAATCTACAAAGTTGATTCGCAATACAAAAATAAAGAATAAAGATAAGTCTTCAGATAATAATGCAATGGATTGTTCTTACATATCAAGTTCAAGTATATCTTCTAGTGATTCCGAAGGAATAATTACAAATGAAGAAGATCGAGAAGGTTTGTAATATATGCACTGAATACATTTGAATAAATTCATATATCCCTAAACATAATATTTATCTAAATATCATAATTCACTTGTTACATTTCATTAATTTTTTTATAACAATACAGTATATTTATTAAATAATATATATGATAGATATATATTTGTTTAAAAAAATTCACATATCCATTTGTGATAAAAAATGTATAAAATTTAAATACCTAACTTAAAATCTTAAATTCTAAATAAATATATTATTACTTATTTAGATATATTTTTATTAAATTTGAAAGTATATGTTCATAAACTAATTGATATTTAATCTCATGCTACTCAATAAGTAATATTTTTAAGCTATGTTTGTGAACAACATTTAGTTACTATATATTTGCTTTCAATTGTTATATACCAATCAAACCATTTACATTAATTTATTTTTAATATTATTAAATGTTTTTAATTTATATTGAGTTTATGAATTTTTTACATATGAATATTTATAAAGTAATACAAAATCAAATTTCAAGTTTAACTTAATAATTATATAAACTATTATTTTTTTCTAATTTATTAACAAATGTAATTATAATATATATTATTTGCTTATGATAAGTTGTAGAATTATTGAATAGAAATAAGTAATATACATCATTTTACTTTTAAATTTATAATAAAAGGAATTAAAATATTGAATATATCATATAATAAAATTTATTTTGATACTATTGTCATACAAAATTCTGGTTCTTGTCGTATTTTTGCAGTCTTAGTTAAATGCATAGTTTCGTTTTTAATTAGTCATATCACATTAAAAGGAAAATAATTAGGATAACAATATTTTATAATCATATTGTTCGAGAGTGAAAAGAAAATCTCTCGAATTATATTCATTAGAAAACTTTCAACAGCTATTATAAAAAAGAATTATCGAACGGACATAAAAATCTAAGAAAGTCTCGCCAAGGTAACTGAAGGCTCGAAAAGGTTAGTACATCTGAAACATACTCGTAACCAGCCACTTTATTGCTCTTCGTACTACAGACGTAGTAATTGTTTTTAATGCAATAAACGACCCTTGCTATTTACCATTAAAACCCGTCCAGCCTGTTTACGCGAGAATATTTTGAAGCGTAAGATATTTTAAAACAATCGAGCGAAAAACATTTCTTAGAATCCGTTACAACCCCAAATTCGGCATGTGCGGCGTCCGGCAATCTGCGCCGCACATGTACCTTCAATGACACCAGCAAGCATGCGTTGTTGTCGAGTACGACAAATGTTGCTGTTTGCATAAGTCAAGTGAAGACGCTTGACCAAAAATCACCCGCACCACAATGAGTCCCGGAGATGGACAAATCTTCCACTTTAAGCGTTGCCGCCAGC